ACCCGAAAAGGAAAGTTCCTGGAAACCAAGGAATTAAAATGGAACAAATTACGAAATTATATGTAAATTCTTCAAAACTGAAAGAAAAATTAACTTGAATTTACAAATTTATGAAGGCGATTTACGCCTATAAATACGATTACGCAAAGCATACAAATAAAATTGCATGGATTATTGAAGAAAATTCTTTTTGTCAAGAGATATAGAATTATGTATACTAACACCTTTTCTGATAAATTAGTTATATTTTTCTATATTGTCAAACCACAATGCCAATTATATTTTTGCATTATAGAAAGAAAGTACATTTTGAAAAAAAAAATTACACTGAAAGAATGCTGACAAAATTAAATCTATATTTAAATACTAAAACACTTAAGTACATCTTATGAGTTATTCTAAAAATAGATTCATTAAACGAAGTTATTTATAGAAGGAAGATCTGAAATTAAATGAAGCTATTTATGGAATGAAGATCATGAATTAAATGAAGCTATTTATAAAATGAAGGTCTGAAATTAAATGAAGCTATCATATCTTAGCTTTCTTTAAATGAAAGCTATATTTAAATATTAAAACCCTTAAATAAGTGTAAAAGGTATTGAGGAATAAACTTCTTGCCTAAAATACATGACTTTAAATCCATTTCTTTACAAAAATAACTTGGAAACTGTATTATATGTTTGCATATGTTAATCAAATCTTATACTACAATTAATATGCAATAACGTTATATGCATTAATTTCCTGACGAAATGTATTAATATCCTTATAATCGTTTAGATCTAACTATTGGGAATACCGTCTGACTTTTATTCCGCAGAAATTAGAGTGTAACTGTCAGTATAATCTTGGGATAATTAAAATGAGCTTCGAATAGAATTAATATTAAATTCACGTTTGTGTCATTGGTACAATTATTCTGTATAACATGATTATTGCTGCAATTACTGTAATTGTTGTACACAGTATTTTCATTTTATATGATTATTCTGTTGGTTAGTTAGTTGGTGTGGATCAAATATTGAAATTAATTTTTAGCTCCAATCTTTTTTTTTTTTTTTTTTTTTTTTTTACTCTAATGAATTTTCTTGGAATTTTCCTCTGCTATGAGTCTACTGTGAAAATAAAGTCTCCCATATATATATATATTCTATTCAACAAAATTATTTAACATTGAATTGCTGTTGAAAATCAAATTTTAATACTGAAGATAATAACTGCAGAAATTTTATTTATATAAAATCAGATAACTCGATTGATAGATTTCCAATAAACGTTTTTTGGAATTACTAATACAATATGACGAGCTTTGGAAGTTCCTGGAAAGCATTAAATTCACCTTTTGGAAGATAGCTTTCTAGACTACGGTTTCTAATCACAACAAAGAGACCAACCTGGTAACCCTGAGCATCTCAGATTCTAACGGTTATTTTCGTTGTTTCTAAATGATCTTTAAAAGTATTCATTTTAGGGAAAGCTCATGTTGTTTAAAAAAAATCATTAATGATTGAACATTATATTTTTGCCATTTCTTTTGCTTTAGGGAGGACCAGAATTTTCGGGTGAACTGTTAAGTTATATAAGAATGGCTCATCAGCTAATTCTGAATATAGAAAAGAAAAATTATCTTGTGGCACAGGAATTGTAATTAATTTCAACTTATCCTCCAACTGACAACATTATGTTGGTGTTAATTGGATTCCTCTTCTTTCACTTTTTTTTTCTTTATTTGTTTTTGTTTCCCTTATGCTGGTTTATTTTAATTTTCTTTCAACATCTGCATAATTCTAATTCTACATTTAAAGAATCTTTTGAATTTTATTTATTTGAATTTCCGTTGAAATCACTCCTTTGATAACTTTGATTTTAGATTTGCTAAAGTTAGCAGACTTTCGCAGTTATCGATTTTATTTTTCTTATCAAGAATTTTATGATGTCTAAAATAATGACTTTTTATTTTTAGTGCATTTAATAAAAACGCTTATTTAAGAAAATTATTAAGTTACTTTAATTTAGTCAGAAAATTCTAGTGCTAAAAATACATCATTGGAAACTGTTTGTGATAACAACCCGTACAAAACAGCAGCCTTTCGTCTGGAAAATATAAACATTTTTAAAAACTCTTAGTAACATAAAATGTTTTAGCAAAATTATATTATTATTGAGAACTTATTTTAAAATAAATAATAGATTGCAGACATAAATTTCCTTTTTTCACCTGAATAAAATGTAACCAAATTAACTGGTAAAATATTTTAAATATATATGCCTACCTGAGAAACAGTAATGCGCTTTTAAAATATCTGCAAATATTTATCACAGATACTTTTTAATATATAAGCCGCAGTGTTTTACATAATTCTATGCTTTATACTGTACAATAATTAGGTTATTTTGCATCAGTAGAGGTGAAAAATGTGTACTGCTGTTGCCAAAACTCGAACCCTATCCTCTCGAACAAATGTCGAGTATGCTTCCATTTAAACCACGAAGACATGCAGAAATGAGGGAGAAAATGCAATATATACTGACCCTTTTAAAGGGCGACTGAAGATTAAGGGAGCCAGTAGCCAAATCCTGGTGGTAATGAATTATTGTTTACAAACTTTTAGTTCGGGCACCATTTGCAAAATCATTAAACTATTTTGAAGTAGGAGCGATGAAAAATGTGCAGTGCCCCCGCCGCGACTCGCGTCAAATGTATGCTTCCAATTACACTTCGAATTCATGCGTACCTTATATTATTTATGAGAAACTATATTACAATATTTATTAACAGTTTTTGATTTATAAACTTTCCTGTTTGCTTTGATTAATGAATCAGTTCCACCAGTCCACAGTGTGCAAAGTTAATCGAAATACATAGTAAAAACGTTTTTCTAACTTTCATTGGAAAGAGAACATACTTTAAAGGAAGAAAAATAATTTTTTAAAGAGAAAGATCATTCTTAATGCTGTGAGACATAAAATATGTATTTAATCTTTTTGAATTTTATAAAATGCAACATGTAAATTTATTAGATAAAAATTAGCATCAAATTAGAAATACAAAAAAAGATGCTGCAATAAATTTAATTTAAATAAAAGGATATGGCGTACCAGTTTGGAAGGATAAAAAAAAATCCTCAGTAATAAATGCTAATAAAATCACGCTTTGTATTGAATTTTGTTATTTAAAATTTGATAAATAGAACTCCTACCTCAGAGGTTAACTGTCAAATTTTCTCCTGTTTATCAGCGTAAAGAAGAAAATGCTCGAATGCTCTGTCGTGATACGCGTAGCCTTCATAGCCATCTCTTCTAAGTGTGCAACGTAATTATGACGCAACAATAACTTAGAGAGTTTAACATTCATTTTCACAGCCGCTTATCTCAGTATTTAACGCAGCGTAGTGTGAAATTGCGAGCTGCATGAATATTTATACCTTAATTATTTGCCATAATTAATGCACTCCTGAAAAATTTACATTTTCATAGAAAGCTGCTGTAGGGATATACGACTTTCTGAGGCAATGCTTATACTACAGCATCTACTTCTTTCAGTTTGTTAAAATTTTCACGAGATATGCTTCATAGTTACTTTAAAGAATTGTTTTTGAACAATTACTTTCGAAAGCTGAGTACTTATGAAGAGAGGTTTAAAAACATTTCCTAATTTTCTAAAGTATTTATATATTTAAGTAAATTTTCCAAAGAAATCATAATGATTTTATTTAACTACACCAAAACCACTGAGAAGCGAAGTCTAATTATTAAAAAATCTAATGTGTACACCACATGACTTTCTTGTACGGAATATTAAATTATACGCATTTTTCTTGCATTTCATTTAAACTTATTGGATAGAATTAATTCTACTTCGTAGATAGCGCATAAACCACAATAGAATAAATGCACCCTTTAAAATTCACTATATTTGTTTACCAAAGCGACACTCTGGCGCTCGGTTCACTTAACAGCGTTATATGTATTTCGTTCATATTATAATTCAGGATGCACAAATCTATATAATTTGAAAAAATCGCTAATCGTTCCCACATGTTCTATTCAAATAAATCTAGAACAATGTATAAAAGAAATTAAGCAAACAAAACAAAAAAGAAATAGTTTTTATTTCTCATTCATTTAATTCAGTTCTCACTTCGCGACAAGGCAAAAATACATAAAAACTCAAAATATTTATATTAAAAAATATGAAGTAAATCCTAAACACTTATTTCCTCGAAAAAATTCCAGAAAGGATTAAGCATGATTTATTTTGCTATAATAAAGGAAGGCGTTATCTTTGTTGTTGCGAAGCTTAGTCTCTCTCGATTGGCAACAAATCTATTATTCTGCTGTTTCTAATGTAAACAAGCATGTCCGCCATGTTATTTAAAACTTAAGGTTTAACTGCACTTAAACAAATTTTAAATTGTTGATAATTGTACTAATATTGCTGGCAGATTTACTAAAGGCATAAAGTTTTTTACTAAAGGCATAGTTCAAGATTACTTCACCAACAGACGCAGCGTCATTTTAAGTAACAGTCGCACAATTGAAAAAGTACAAGTCAGAGGCTGCCTGCAGGGGTCCTGCTTAAGTGCAGATTTTGGTACCTGACGTTTGACAAAGTCATACAGCACAAATGGCCCCAACAACTCAAAATGCACCGCTTTTGCGGACGATGTAGCTTTTGTTGTGAGTGGTAGCTCCAGAGATGAGTTACAAAGAAATATAAACAGTACATTAGAATTTTTTAACTCTCTTTGCAAACAACAAAAACTAATAATTTCTCAAGAAAAAAATCACATGCCTTAATTATCCACAAACCCTCACAAAAGATAACAAAACTTCTAAGATTCGAAATAGAAGGAATTAAAATAAAAATTGTTAACTCCCTAAAATACCTGGGTGTCATCATTGATAAAAAAACTTAACTTTATAGACCATCTAGACTACATTAAAAGCAAGACCTCCAAAATAGCTACCAATCTAAAGCGAATGAACGGAATAGGATGGGGAATGAGCAGACCACTCCAACACCTCATCTACCATACAGTAATCGAGAAGATTGCTCTATACGGAGCAGCCGTATGGGCAGAACCAATGACAAAAAGAAAGCAAAAAAAGCTTCATACAATCCAGCGCCTTTCCTTCTTAACTATACAGGAAGCTACAGAACAAAATCAAATGCGGCACTCTTCCAAATCGCTAACAGCTCTTCACTTTTTATACGCGCTGAACAAGAATTCCATAAGACAACAGTACTACAACTACGAAAGAAGAGCCATTACAAATCATTAGAACTTTTAGCAAAGAATTACGAGACACCAGCACACCCATATGAACACCACCCAGAAAAGAAAAATAATATCACATTAAGCATGAAAAAAGAAGTAAGCCAAAAGAAATTCCCCCAACTCTTTACAGACGGTTCCGGCCTAGAGGAAGGTAAAGGCAGCGCAATCAAAATCTACCTGGATCCCAATTCGACAACAGAACAGAAGTTCCACCTAGATCAACAAAATAGTGTATTCCAAGCAGAATTAGTAGCGCTCCTTGAAGCAATAAAATACAGCATCACAAACTCTCTAAAAGCAGCACATATCTTTACAGACAGTCTTTCAGCGATGTATGCCATCGCAAACCCATGCCACCGATCAAATTTAATCCAGGAGATTACAGAAAGAACTTCAGCATCACAAAATCAACACTTCTTTGTCACTTGGCTGAAGACACATGCAGGTACAAAAGGCAACGAGGAGGCTGACATCCTCGCCAAAGAAGCAACTAGGGGTCAAAATGCACAAAATTTATCAGTACCATGGCCTAGCCCGCACCTTAAAAAATCATAATCATCAAATGTAAAGCTGAATGACAGAACTGGTGGGACAAAGCCGAACAAGGAAGAAAGACTTATCGGTTGTTCCCAAAAGTAGGCAGAGCTCCCAGTTTAATAACTAGAGAAATAACGTGGTTCTTATCAGGGCATGGCCCTTTTCTCACGTACTTCTATGCAAGGAAACTAGCAACTTTATATCAATATTTATATCAATATTTATATCAATATCAATATTTATATCAATGTACATGGGGAGAATGAGGCAGTCCCAAACATTTTATATTAAATGCCCCCCTTACAGCTGAACATCATCTAAAAGTCCCGAATTCAGAGAGTGAAGTGACTCCCTTTATTAGATATGCTATCAAGAACATCCATCTCCGAAAAAAATCATAATTATATGAGCTTTCTGTCCACAAGAGGCACTGAGCTATGCAGCATAACCTAGAATAATATAACAAAGCTATTACTTAAAAGATAGTATGCAAGCAGACCTGTAGCTGCCGTCCATAGCATGTAAGTGCGAAAGGCACCAACTGTAAAAACACCAATGTATATTTAAGGGAAAAAGAAAGGCACTACCCGCGGTCTGGTAAAATACAAAGCATTGCAAGCAACGCCTGGCAGGACCCCCTGTAAGTCCTGTGGGGAGTAATTTATTTGGATATCTAGTGTGGCTGGACAATACCCACATTGCCAATGGTTAAACAATGGGTGTCCACCGCATTTCTCCATATCCATATCTATAAAGGCATAAAACCTTAACCGGAGGATAAGAACAACATAATTCAATCATTTTTAAAGCAAAAAATGCACGATTTACAAACATATGAGAGTAAAGAAACTGAGATCACTAAGCCGGGTAGCAGCGTGGACATAAATATATTTACATACGTTTGATGCGGCCGTTTGCAACCAAATTATGAGGTACATATCTGCATGTTATAGCAGTCCCTATATACAAAACTTCAACGTTCTGAGGCTACTCGTTTTTGAGTTATGCGAGATAAATGCAGACGTACAGACACGACGAAAAATCCTCTTCAGAATTTATTTTAAAGCAGTTTTATATATATATATATATATTTTGGAGGAAAAGAGTCTTTTGTTCTGCCCTTACGTACAGATGTCACGCAAAAACTTCGTTAAATTGCATTCGATAGCTGTCAAAATGGATATTTTCGTTGAAATAAGTTGAAATATGCTGCCTGAAACTTTTTGCGATTACAATACTTATTTTTTACTTCGTACAAGGAAGTAAAAATATATGCAGATGGCCCATGCTTTACTCTGTGATTTATGTTTTTATGTGACATAAGGTATCGTTCAGCGGTTTTGCTGCGTTGCTACATAAATCAAATGATAACATTTTCATTTGCAATCTCATATGCAGAATATAAAGACGTAATCTCACTTAGATAAATGATATTTCGTTGGATAAATTCTAATGCTAATTTACCAGTAAGATTAAATTAACATAGTTTATATAAAATAGAAGATCTATCCAAAGTGTAAATTTCCTACTGTACTACACCTTTCCTACTACAATGCAAATCATTTGAATCTGAGGGCATTTAATGTTAGTTTTTCGGATAAGACAAAGTGTGGCTTTCGGGACCATGTTTCTAGATTTATGTTTCGTATAACGTTGTAGTATTCAAGTTAGCGTTATAGCTAACGTCATTCTAAAATTGTTTCACTGTGAGGAGGTTTAATGTGACGTTATATCAATTGTACAGCCTGGGACTAACAGACTTAGTTTTAAATCTTGAAAGTGGCTGTTTCTTTAAGTTTCATCGCCAAAAGGGGCCGGAAATTTGTAAGCACGTGTGGTGCGTTTATGTTCAACTTATGATTTAATATAAGGGTTTGTGTTTAAACCTTCTTAAGACTTAACAGCTTTTTTTCAGATACAGCGATAATTTATGAAGCATATCTCTTTATAAATTATCGTTGTTCGCGATACTTTGTGGATCCTTCTTAGCGTGCCTTTGTGGAGTAGTGGTCTACATGCTAGGCGCGTATGCTAGGCGCGTATTGCAGGGATCCGTGGCTCGATCTCCGGCGAAAGCGTTGCTCATTTTTCATCTCTCCTGATTTTATAATATACCTAGTGTCTCTACAAAGTCAGTCTAGGTCTTTTCGAAGTTTGGACTTTGCTTATGTTACCAAACTATATAAGAGTTATAAGTATGTTAGACACCAAAATATCACCTGTGTAATTAGAATATCTATGTTATAGGCTATGAATATTAAAAATTCATTTATGTTTATTAGCTTTGTAGATTTCTAATGCCTTGACTCGAAAATGAGCAAAGTGTGGTTAAGTACACACCTATGAGGGAGGAAGGAGCAGGTTTTGACTAAAACAAAAAAACTGATGAGGACAACACATAAATTCTTTGCATGGAATGTTAAATTATTCGCATTTTACTGCATTGCATTTAAACTTATTTCCTTGAAATTATTTACAGATATATTTCTCATTCAATTAAATCAGTTCTCACTTCGACGTAAATCAAAAATATATAAAATATCTTCACTAAAATTGGAAAAATATAAAAAGACGTAAAACACCAAATAGAGTTACGACAATTAAAAAAATAAGTTTTGCAATTAAAGTAAGAGTTTCTACGCAAACGCAAGCTATTCGGCCAGCAGGAAAGAAGGCAGATTTTTCGGTGCACAAAACTGAAAGTTTACTTCTGGACACACTCGGCAAAAGACACTGAAGGTGCAGAAAGTTGTAGGGTTTATATTTATTTTAACTAACATTTATTTTAAGTTTAAACTATCTTTCCTGTCAAGCCTTACTTTCCCCTGGAACTGCCAATGCCAGAGTGTGTAAATTTTAGTAGAACACGCAAGGATTCAAATTTATCAGCGGAAGTATTCTGAGTTAAATAGAAAGGAAACGAGTTCGAAGGTGTGCTTTCTTGCTTCACGAGTGTGGAGGTAGCTAGTTAGAAATTAAAGAACCACACGTTTCGGCCTGTGTGCTTGCCTCGGCAAATTGTTAATCTTTCAACTTAATATTCAGAGTTTGCTGAATTATCAGGGGCATTGTAAAACGCGGTGAGGTTAGTTACGTTTAGAGAGCCTCGTAGTTAGTTACTTGTTAGTATCTCTTTTTAGTTTCTTATTTTCATTTTACCTCCGGGTCGGCGTTGTGAGCGTCAAGAGCACGCATTTGTAACTTCTAAAGTTGAATAAAAAGGGACTTAAACCCTTCTCAAGACTCTAATTTCCAGTTTTCAGCAGTCACCACTTTGTTGCGTGCAGGATGGAAGCACGCAACTTTACATTGTGTCAGGTCCTGCAATCAATGTCAGTTAATAAATGATATTAATTACAGCCCGGCTGGGTACTTAAATAGCATTAGCGCTACATTTCCGAATGAAATTTTAGGCATAGATCTTCTTGGTCCTTTCCCCGAGAGTGAGTTAATAAAAAACGTTTTCTTTTTGTAATCGTAGATCATTTTTCAAAATGGACAGAAATTTTTCCACTTAAACGCGCGTCAGCCAAAACAGTCGCAGATGCATTCTTACACAGATACATTTTAAAATACGGCGCACCGATAAAAGTCATTAGCGATAACGGTAAACAATTCATTAGTCAAATATGTGAAAAACATATGCACTGGACTTTGCATACGCCATATCAAAATGGTTCCGTATAGACCACAGGCAAACATAGCAGAAAGAGTTAATAAAAACATTGTAAAAATAATTCGAAGCTACGTCACAAGCGCTGGAATGGCTACATAAATGAGTTAGCTTATGCTTTAAGAACGGCAAATCACGATACTACGGGAAAAACCCCATAAGAATTATTTTTTAGGCCGAATGTTAATTACGCCTTTAGATAAATTATTCTTTGTGCAACAAAGAGAGCAAGAATTTAAACAGAAAGATGTGCAAAAACTTATTGACCAGGCGCTTAAATCTCGGATACGGCAAGAAATAGGCAAAAAGTATATTACGATAGAAAACGCCGTGAAGCAGATTTTAAATTTGGGGATAAAGTATTGAAGCGGAAATTTTCTTTATCAAGTGCCCCAAACAATTTTACTGCAAAGTTAGCTCCAAAATTTGAAGGCCCCTATGTAATTCAGGAAATCAAAGGAGTCGTATTGTAGCTTAAGAACGAGAGAGGGGAAATCTGTAAAGCAAGTCCCGACCGGGTGAAAAAATACTATAATCAAAATGATTTTGAAATCCTTAAAAGTTTCCTGCAGGACTCAAGCGTAAAAGAAGTAGAAGGTCCAGAAATAACGTCACCCGTTCCACCACCCAAGAAGCAGATAACTGAAGAGAAACCTAGCCCTTCTACAACCCATGCGACGGTACCGAAAAGAAGAAACGAAAACTTTCAGACTTCAGCATTTAAGAAAAACAAGAAAGCAAGGCCGCCGCGTAAAGAAACTTTGGTAAAGAGGAAAACACCACTTAAAACGTATCGCAGTAGAAATTATACATCAATGAGAACGCTCCCAGGGCCAGAGAGTCAGGTGCAAACAAGGCCGCCGTTCCCGAAAATAAAAAGACAGCAGGAGGAACGAAAAGACCAACACCGACAGAAGAAATTCAAAAATGACTCCAGACCGGAGGACGCCAAGACCAGCCGTCCAGGGGCAAAACGGAAAAAACAGCAACCCGACGACTACCACTCCAAGAGGCCAGCATGCAGAGGGCGAAAAAGAAAAAGCAACGTGGACGACACTCGAAGGACCCTAAGGAGACGACTGACGTAGATGAAACCTATAACGTGGGAGCAGTTCTTCCAGAAGAGGATGTCGGAGTTCCAATCATCGAAAACTCAAAGATAGGTTAAAATCTTCTATATTTTTTTTTCTTTTGTTCCGAAATGTTATGCGTAAATACGAAATTCTATGTTTTGACGGAAGTCAATGTGTCTCGGTTGACACTTAATTTTGTTTTACTTTATTTAGCTAAGGTAAAAGTATTATTTTCTTTAAGTATAATATCTAAGAACAAGCAGTTTCTGTTG